CAGGACCCCAAACTTTGACCTAAAACTTAATTTAAAAGGTTTTTTTGAGAAATGCATTTCTGGGACCTGCCATGAGAGACTCAGACTCAAATCTGAGGTGAGGTCTACCCAGATTGAGAATCACTGCCCAGCGGTGTAGAATAAACATGAGAAGCTATAAAAGCTAAAGTCTGGCCTCTGCTCACCTCCCAGGTCCAGGCAGGGAGGTGTTGGTGCTGATGGTGTGCCGTGGAGTCAGTTCTGACTCATAGAGACTCTGAATAGGGTTTCCAAGGCTGTAAATCTTTACAGGAACAGAAAGCCTCATCTTTCCCCCGTGGACCTGCTGGTAGTTTTGAACTGGTGACCTTGAGGTTAGCAGCCTGACGCGTAACCACTACACTACCAGAGCTTGTTAGGCAGGGAGGATTGTTGTTATTGTTAAGTACCGTCAAGTCGATTCTGACCCATAGCGACCCTGTATAGGGTTTCCAGCTTGAACTGACCTTGTAGTTCAAATGACTTTGCAGTCTGACGCATAAGCCCGCAGTGCCACACCAGGACTGGATTTGTTGTTGTTAAGTGCCGTTGAGTTGATTCCAACCCATAATGACCCTGTATAGGGTTTCCAAGGAGCAGCTGGTGAGCTTGAACCGTCGACCTTGCAGTTCAAATGGCTTTGCTTGGGCCAGATAAATGCTGCTTGTAGCCTGGCAGTGGTCTGAACCCTGCTTGTTCTTTCTCTTTGCACAGCCATTTTTGGAGGGTGGAAGAGAGTATCCGGCCGGACACGTGAGTTGTTTGGGAGCAAGTGTGGATTTTATGGCCCCAGCCACAGTAGCTGGACAGCTGGTTCTCTGTCCTCCCCCAGCATGACCTGCCCCTCACTAGGCTGCTGCTCACATTGCACAAGACCTAACAGCCCCTTTCTCATGGCTCTGGTTGCCAGGGGATGGCTGCCTCAGCTCAATCCCGGGAGAGCTTGGGTTTCCCTCTCCTGGCCTGTTTTCCAACTGGGAAGATGGATGGGGCTTGCTGAATGCCAGAAATGGTCAGGGCCCCCAGGATTCCTGTCAGGAGACCCCTCTCATTTGGAGTTTTCAATTTTCCGAGCCACCCTGTGAGGTAGTGAGGGTTGGCCTCTCAGAACAATGCCCAAGACCACACAAGAGATTGTGACAGACCCTCCCATCCAGTCTTCCCCATTATTCCACAGCTGGAGTTCAAGAGGACCCCACAGGGGCACAAGTGAGTCACCTACTGCTAATGGGAGACAATCCCCAGGGATCCCTAATTTTCATTAACACTAGCAGGTACCCTTTCATTATCCAAACCCATCCTTCTCCACCTCTTGCTTCCTTGCAGCCTTTCCAGCTGAAAAGCCCCCGCCTGGTGAGTGACCTCCTTCCTCTTCTCTCTGGGAGGTGTTGTTGCTTTACTTGCTCAGGAGCCCCACCTGGTGGAAAGAAAATACCCTCGGCATCATGGTTTCCCCTTTATAGAAGATTGCAGGCTGTAGGGTGGGCCAGGCAGCTTCAGACTCAGGTTCTAATATCATTTTTACTTTTGCTTCCTTCATTCGGAAAATTTGTTGTTGTTAAGTGCCGTCGAGTCGGTTCCGACCCATAGTGACCCTGTACAGGGTTTCTGAGGGCATAAATTTTTACTGGAGTAGAAAGCCTCATCTTTCTCCTGCGGAGCGGTTGGTAGTTTCGAACCGCTGACCTTAAGGTTCGCAGCCCGATTCGTAACCACTACGCTATAGTTATGTGATATTTTTCTGGGCCAGGCCCTGGGGCAAGTTCTAGCATAGAGAGACAAGCTTGTCCCGGCCCTCCAAGAACTCACAGGCCAGCCAGACAACAGACCACTGAAAAGACTATTAGCTAAGGATCTAGGGATGGGAGGCATACTACATGCTAAGGGCACCGATGAGTACCAAACTCAGCTAGGAACAGTTTAAGAAAGACTGAGGGCAGGAGAGGGTCCAGGAAGCCGTAGGTGATGTGTAGATGAGTAGAGGTCAGTCGTCTCGGAACTGCAGGTCCTGAGGATGCCCTAGGAAGCCTATCCTGGAGACAGTTGGCCCCTCCCAGAGGGTACCCCTCCCCATAAGTCACCTTCTCAGTCATCTCTCATGTGTGTCCCTTCAGGATGTACCGTGTTCGCGTGCTCTCTCCCGGGGTCTCTGGCCTGGACAAGTCATCGTAGTGCGGGGACTGGTCTTGCAAGAGTCAAAGGAGTAAGTACAGACGGAGGGGAGGAAGCAGTATAGTACCTCTTTGTCTAAGGTCACAGAACTGCCCTCATGACCCCAACAACCCAACGCTACAATCATCCAACCAGCCAGTCCAACTAGCTTCTCATCAAAGGGACTCCAAAAAAAGACCTTTGCAGGAACAGCCTGAGGCTGAGAGAAGATTCTGCCTCTCAGGGTTTGGGAAACTTAGCCTAGAGGCCACAGCAAGGAAGAATAATGAATGCTTTCAAGTCCAGGCTTGAGGGACTCAGTGGACGATGCCCGACTACTCCTGAAGGGGGCGCTCTCACATCATCTGTCAAACTATTCAAATCCAGTCCTAAAGAATAGGGCATTTATTTATTTCTCCTATTTATTTTAAGAAATACATTGACTTTATGATTTTTCTGGTCCAGACTGCCTGGGTTTAGCATCTGTCTTGCTTATGCAACCTTATAGGGTGTTACTTTCCCTCTCTTTATGTCAGTTTCCTTATCTGCAAAAAATGAGAGGTGATAATAGTGCCCACTTCAGAGGTGGTGATAGAACAGTGCTTGGCACACACTAAGTGTGTACTGCAATGATCTCAGAGAGAAAGGGACGTGCCCTAGGTTTCCCTAGCGTTGCCCCCCTTTTGTTTTTGTTTTATAAGTTACTGACCTCACTAAACCTTGCCTTGCACATTCTTGATCATGCCTGGGAACTCAAGGGCAGATGTGAAGCCCAGCGTGGGTCAGTCTGGGTTTGGGACCCAGGCGCACCTGGGTTGGGTTCCTGGTTTTTCCCGTTATAAACTGCAGTATCATGCAAGCACTACATTTCTCTGAGTCTCAGTTTCCCCATTTGACAAAAGGAAAAAGACAATTCCAGTCTTACAGGGTCAACGAAAGGTGTTCAGTGGTAGAAAGAACTCCCCTCCTAAAAGTTGGAGATAGAAGAGCAGGTCTGTGTCCCGGTTTAAAGTTATCTGGTTATTATTAACACAGTTAGTAACTTGACTGTCCTTTCTCAAAGTCCGTGAATTTGAATGCCCTCAGAGACCTGGCAGGTCACATAGTGAGGCACCAGGCTGGGGAAGTGAAGTGGAAAGAATATTTCGATAGGTCCATTGATGCCAGATCTGCTTATCTTTCTTTTTTTAATGTTTTATTGTGAATTATGTGATAGTTTACATGGGAGAACATTAGTTTTACATTCATCCTATCATATATCGTTTCATTGCCATGGTTACAATCCCCTTCATGCATCATCAACCAACCAAAGGGTATACACTACAATCCTGCCCCCCGGTTGTCAGCACACAACTCCTCTCCCTCTCTGTGTCTAAAGTCCCCAGCTGCTCCATCTCTCCACATCATCGTCTCTGCCTCCATTTCAGGCATCACTGCTTCTCTGGGTAGGGTCCCGCTCTCTGCTCTTCTCCCTTCATGGTCCCAGGGACCTCCACTCCTAGACTGAAAAGTTAATCACTCCCCTCCTTGCTACAAAATGTATACTTTTACATTTCCAACCCTCACAATCAGTCCTGACAACAATTATTCACTATTATATCACAAGAGATGTATCCACATTTCATTTCATCAGCCCCGCCTAGACAGATTGGATACTACTCAGTGGAGATTCTACCTTCCTCCCTGCCCTCTGGATCTAGGTTCCCTTTTGAAAGCTTGTAAGCCAGTCACTTCTTGCCTTTGTTGTCTTCCCCCCCCCCCATTTTGGGTAGCCAATGTCCAAGTTGCCCATCCCTGTCTACTCTGTGTGTGGAGGGGGTGGGAATGATTCCTTGCTGTAAAGATTTGTTCCCTCTTTTGAGATACTGCATCCTTAGGTGAAGGTCAAGTTTATCAAATTGTATCAGATTACTCTTTTTTTTCCTCTTCTGTCTTCTCCTGGTTGAGCTCTAATCATCCAGTCATTGAAGCCAGGTCAAGTGGATATTATCTGACAGTGTGAGTGTTCTTGTGCATATGCCCTCTCTTCTTATCTGCTGGATGCTTTACTCTCCAGTCTAGTCTTCTGTGGCTGTGTCACTGACTCTGGGCCCAAGAGTTCCCAGGTCTTGCCACACTGCTGGCCAACCAGGTCTCCACCTGGGTTCACAGGAGTCTATTGAACATTGTAGGGCTTAGCTTGCAGCTTCATTGCTGTTTTTCCCTCACGTCCCCTTATCGGTGACGAACGTGGTCACCACTTGGTTATCTTTAAAGAGAAGAAGTGTCGCCACTTTTTATATAAAGTTTCTTGAGTTTTGAACACTGTACTCATTTAAAATTTAAGACTACTTACAGAACACTGTATTAAGAAGTCTGCAGGCCGATTCAGCTGTGGGCCATGAACATCAAGACTCAGCACAGTGCCTGGTACTTAGCAAGCACGTGACGAATTCTGCTGTTGCCACTGCTCTTATTAATGCTGTTTTCAGAAAGCAACTGATGGCTTGGACAGATGGGAAGGGGAGTTGGGGGGCATGGGACTCATTTGCAGTAAAATATATCCCCATCCATACCAATAGGGTTCAAGGTTGTAGCCTTAAGGAATTTCTGTTCAACAGAGTTCCATTGGTCATCTTCAGGGAGTCCACTTCCCAGACTTAGGGCTATGCTGGATGGGCAGGAGGTGGTGGGTGGAGAGGACTGAGGCCTCCAAGAATTCTCAGGTCAATGGGAAAAGGAAATTTTACTCAGGGAACTTGGGGGTGAGAAAAACACAGAACAGAGATCACGTGGAGGTGGATAAGGTCACACTGGGCTGAAGGCTCCATGGAATCCATCCTCTGGGGCCCCTGCCTTCCGAGCTTCCTCCAGCCCATGCCATTTCCTTCCCACAGCTGGGAATTTATGAATCAGGCTGCAAACCTTAAGGTCAGCAGTTCGAAACTACCAGCTGTTCCATGAGAGAAAGATGAGGCTTTCTGCTCCCATAAAGATTTACAGCCTCAGAAACCCTGTACAGGGTCACTATGAGTCAGAACCGACTCTATGGTACATAACCACCAATCACCAACCACCCACCACATCCTGCAATGGATCCACCCACCCAGGGCAAGCCTTCCACCTGCCCAACTTGTCCCACCACCTCCATCCTGTGTCTCCTTTCACTTTTAAAGACTTCCTGCTTAGGAGTCAGCCGGCAGCAGCTTCAGCAAAGTTTTTTCAGAGAAGGTGACTTTGGAAACTCTCACGACATGAGAAACGAATCTGCCTGCTTTATTGTGAGGCAGATTCCAGGCAGTAGAAAGACTGTCCCTTCCCTCAAATCCAGAGGCATGAGTCTGAGGTCTCCACTGCTATTCCTGGTAACCAAGTCATTAGCATGTTTCCCTCATCAGTAAAATGGGCTGATGGAACAGGGTTTTTGTAAGGACTAAGGGAGTCCTGGTGTATTACTGTGGGCTAATGCGCTGGACTGCAAAGTCGGTTTGAACCACCAAGGTCGCTGGTTCAAGCTCACCAGTTGCTCCTTGGAAACCCTATACAGGGTTGCTATGGGTCAGAACTGACTAGCTGGCACTTAACAACAACAACAAGGGAGTCCTGGTGTGGTGCTGTGGGTTAATGTGTTAAATCGGTTTGAACCATAAGATCAGTGGTTCAAGCTCACCAGCTGCTCCTCGGAAACCCTATACAGGGTCAGTATGGGTTGGAACTAACTCAACGGCACTTAACAACAACAACAAGGAAGACAAGCAGTAGCATGTGTAAGACACCTACCATATTTGCTAGTTTTCACATGCATTGCCTCCTTTGTTCCCATCAGGTAAGTATTGTATTAGGTTCCAAGTAACAATCTTATAATACTGTTTTAGTAACTGTGGTGGTGGTGGTGTGCCCTGGAGTCGGTTCTGACTCATAGTGACCCTGCATAGGATTTCTGAGGCTGTGAAGCTTTACAGGAGTAGAAAGCCTCGTTTTTCCTCCTGTGGAGCAGCAGGTAGTTTCAAATTGCTGACCTTGAGATTAGCAGCCCAACACGTGACCACTACACTACCAGATAGCAATAGGTATCATTTAAGTGGCCAGGCACTATTGTAAATATGATACAAGTATCAACGCATTTAATTCTCATAACAGCCCAATGAGACAGTCACAATATCTGTATTATCCCCCATGTTACAGGTGAGGAAACAAGGGCACAGAGGACACATGACTTGCCCAAGGTCACAGGGCTAGTAAGCAGCAGAGCCAGGATTCAACGCAGCAGCCTTGCTGTAACCCTGAGGCTACTTCTAAAACGCTCCAACAAAACTACCTGGCATAGGTGATTCTCAAGAAAGCTTGTGACTGTGGATAAGACTGTGACTAAGAGTGACCTCATATTGGAGTCCCAAAACTGGACATCTTTGGTTATGTGCTGTGGAGTCAGTTCCGACTCATAGCGACCCTGTACGGGGTTTCTGAGGCTGTAAATCTTTACAGGAGCAGAAAGCCTCATCTTTCTCCTGCGGAACAGATGGTAGTTTCGAACTGTTGGCCTTGCGGTTCGCAGCCCGCTTCGTAACCACTATGCTACCAGAGCTCACTTTACAAGAGCAGAAAGTCTCCTCTTTCTCTCGCAGAGTGGCTGGTGGGTTTGAACTGCCAACATTGTGGTTAACAGTGCAGTGCTTATCCTACAGCGCCACCACCATTTGTTAAACAAATGCTAGTTACTATTATTATTATCCCCATTTTGAGGAGAGCAAATCGAGACTCGGATAATTTGCCTATAGTCCCCCAGCCAGTACCTGGTGATGATGGTTGATGGTTATGTGCTGTGGAGTCGGTTCTGACTCACAGCGACCCTGCACAGGATTTCCGAAGCTGTAAATCTTTACAGAAGCAGAAAGCCCCATCGTTCTCCCGCGGATTTGCTGGTAGTTTCGAACTGCTGCCCTCGCGGTTTGCAGCCCGATTCATAACCAGTAGCGCTGGTGTGATCTCAGGTCTGTATCAGCCTGAATCCAGTGCTCTTTCCACTCCTCTGAGCAGAGGTATCTGGTATGCAGCCGTTACAGTTGTTGTTGTTGTTGTTAAGTGCCGTCGAGTCAGTTCTGACCCATAGCGACCCTGTACAGCGGTTTCAGTACTCCTGGTTAAATGCAAGCAACTACACTAACCCAAAGGTGGACACTGGAACCCACCAACCCACCAACCACTCTGGGGAAGGAAAATGTGGTAGTTTCCTTCCATAAAAAGTTACCACCCTGGAAACCTGAATGGGCAGCTTGCTGTGTCTTAGAGAGCCTTCAGGAGTGTGAATTGATGGAACCATGGCAACGGTTTCGGTTTTATTTGGAGCTGTTACGGGTACAAGCTCCAGCCCAGGGTCTGTCATCGGTCCTTAACTTTGTTTCCGGAGCGTCTGTAGACTTTTCCAGCTGCTCCCCCACCTCTACTCACCCTCCCTGCAAGGAGCTGCAGCCACGGCTCAGAAGAGCCAGCTGAGCAATGGCCTGACATCAAAGCAAACTGATCCCCTTCTCCATGCCCTTCCTACAGTTTCACACTGAGCCTGTGGGATGAGTCTGCTCACGTTTCTGTGACGCTTCGGGCTTCCTTCACAGACAGGACACTCGCCTGGATCTCCCCTTGGGGACGCAAGAGACTGGTTTTGGCTCCCTTCCTCTTTTACCCTCAACGATTCTTTGAGGCAAGTCATGGCAAGGGTGACTTCCCCCCTCTGAGATGGAGATCAGGATTCTATTCCCATAATGCTCCGGGACATAGCACATGCGCCTCCAAGGCTGTATAGGCAGAGCAGGAGTAAAGGAACCCAGGAGCGGAAACTGGGTGGGTCCGAGAGAACTTCCAGGTCAACTCTATTTGCCAGGGATGCCATGTTCATAAACTCAGATATCATCAATCTGGGTGGGCCCCGGTATCATTGCTATTAAAAAGTTCCCCTTTATGATTCCAATGTGCAGCCATAATTGCAAAACACTTGTTTGGAAAGCAACTCTTATTAAAACTCAGTTATTGAATCGATTCGGACTCATTTCTACTGTTGCATTAAGAGCCTTCTAGTACGGTGGCTCCTTAGGACAAGGTTTGCGGTTCAGTCCACCAGCCTCTCCTACACAGGGTTGTTGTGAGTCGGAATCAATCCCATGGCACTAGCAAGTCAGTTCCTACTCATAGCAATCCTGTATAGGGTTTCCAAGGAGCAGCTGATGGGCTTGAACTACCTACCTTGCAGTTAGCAGTCCAGTACTTCTTCTACAGTGCCACACCAGGACTCCATAACTCCTAAAACAGGTAGTGAAACAGGCCCAGCGCTAGGAAGATGATAGCAGAAGGTCACAGTGACTTGGTGACCAGCTGAGTCTTTAATCCAAGTTTTGTATCCTCTAGTGGGACGAGTGCTTTCCCAGAAGGCAAGGGAAGATCTAAGTGGAAGCCTGAGTTCGCTCCTGTCTCCTTTCTCAGGTGCTGCTCTTGTGCCATGAGGGAGGGCTGAAACTCGCACTCAATGGACAAGGGGTTGGGGCCACCAGCCTGAGCCAGCATGCCCTGGAGCGGCTGGCGGAGCTTCGAATCAGTGGCAGTATCCAGCTCTACTGTGTCCACTGCTGAGGAGGGCTCTGGAGGACCACTGGCCAGAGAAGAAGAGGGCCAACCTATGCCAGTGCCCCACAGTATGGCTCCACTCTCTCTTCCTCATTGAACTATTCAGCTGTCACCACATCAGGATTCACTGTATCCTGCCTTGTAAGGAGCACTCTGGTAGTACTTCTTCAGACACAGATTTGCTTGTTCTTCTGATAGGCCATGGTACTTTCAATATTTAATATTCTTATCAAACACCATAACAAATACATCAATTCTTCTATTGTCTTCCTTATTCACGGATTCACTTCTACTGTGACAAGCCAGCAGGGATTTTGGTCCCCGCCTCAGTGGAAAGGCACAAAGGTGTGAAACCCTTTGAAGCACTCCGGCTCCATACACCCTGAGCCTGGATTTAGCACCATCTTCCTTCAGACCTGAGACAGAGACTCAAGAAGACAATTTTGTAGCCTAACAAAGACATCCAAAAAGACAATAACTTAAGTAATTTACAAGTGTATTTTTTTTCCATGTAGTCAGGTTCAGTGGGTCTGCTCAGTTTCTCATAGATATTCAGGCCTGTCCTCATCACCCCACTGCTCTGAGAGCATCGTTGTTTTCTGCGTGGCTGAAGTTGGTTGCCACCATAACTAGGTGTCTGTCACTTGGAAGGTGGATGGAGATTGTAGACAAGGGCAACTTGATTTCATAAGTTTCAGGCATGGAACTGGCACACACTATTCATAATCACATTTCATTGGTCATACTACCTACAAGGAATCCCAGTGTGGTGCTGTAGGTGAATGCGCTGAACTGCAAAGTCAGTTTGAACCACAAGGTCATGGTTCAAGCTCATCAGCTTCTCCTTGGAAACCTTACATAGGGTCACTGTGGGTCAGAACTGACTCGACAACACTTGACAACTGTCTACAAGGAACCTGAGATGTTCTCCAACAGCATCGTCAAGTTCCCCTGGTCCCCTCTTCTCTCAGGAGTCTGAAGACTCAGTCTCAGTGATTCGCCATTTTTCAATGACACATTTACAGGAAGCCTTCAATCAGAAGCAATTTATTGCAAAGTGAAAGTACACTTCAGAGAGAAATGAGTCTATCTCCGAGAGTGTCAGGGACCAGCCTCGACATAGGTGTTGGATTCATGAGTGTTTGGTTCACGAGGAGGGGATATCCGGTGGTGATAGGGATAGCGAAAGAATACACAGACAGACAGAAGGAAGGAGACAAGGAGACACCCCAAAGCCAGGGTGGATATATTACTGGCATCAGGCAGCTCTGGCGTGGTGAACATATTAGCCATGAGGGCAGTAAGGTCCCGCATGGCAAACATATTAGCTAAGCGGGCAGTACGCGCCCCTTACTAGCTAGTCAGTAATGCATGCCTAGTCAGCCGCAGAGCATGTTCTCCAAGCTGTACTACACACTTTCACAGCCTGCCTGCAATGCACACCTGGGCTGGCCTGTGTCTCTGTTTTATTTGGGGGAGGAGCTTCACACCAAGCTGGGAGGGACTAAAACAGGATACAGCTAACATCAGTAATTTTCCAGACATTCAGGTAACTTTACATCGTACTTCGCTGGTTCGAATCCCAGGCCCGCAACTTGGATTCTCAGGCTCAGTTAACATATCTATAGCCCATGAGCTCAGTTGGGGGAAGGTGAAAAGTAAGGACAAAAGGTTTGGGTGGAGTCCCGCTGTTTTGGCTTTCTGAGCCAGGTTTTCAAGAACTTGGCTGAAAAGCTAACACCTGGGACAGATTTAGGGAAGATGGCTTTTTTGTCTGTAGAACAAAGACCCGGGAAGTAGCTAAAATATTTCTAGTTAATCCTTTGGAGGAAGGCTTGACCTTTGAAACCTTTACAATCTGGGCTTTAGGAAAATATTACATTTATCTGTGGACATTAAGGGCTCATGTTTGGAATTAAATAAAAAACATAACTGAACACTAAGATGAAAAACAATTTGCCATGACTGCCAGTGGCCAGAATTTGTTCCTCAGAGCCTGCGGCCTGTGACACTCAGGCCCAGTGGGCCTCGAACTTCTACACGGTCTGCAACACGAGAGTGGAGAAGAGACTGTGGAATTAGGGAGTATGGATTAAGTACAGTTTTCTCTTCCTGGTTCTAGATGCACTCCCACAGGGGCAGGCCTGATGCTGCTCCTCATTGATTGGTGGTGGTGGTGATGGTTATGTGCCGTGGAGTCGGAACCAACTCATAGCAACCTTGTACAGGGCTTCTGAGGCTGCAAATCTTTACGGGAGCAGAAAGCCTCATCTTTCTCCCGCGGAACAGCTGGTAGTTTCGAACTGCTGACCTTGCATCCTAATAAACGAGAAGAATATTTATTTGATTTTTAGTAAAGCGGTGCTTCCTGGAAATGGAGTGCTGGCTCTTTCTGTTTCCTTTGTGGTGTCTGCTCCTGGTGCTGTTTGTATGGGCTGACTCTGCTTGATGGTTAGGCCTCCAAGGTTCTTGCCTTTGCTAGGTTCTTCCCCTTTGCACCTGGTTGTTTTTCTCACGGCAGGTGTTATTTTTTCTCTACCTTGGTCTCAGGTCCTGCTTTCTTTTTCCTTGCCCCTGGGCTGTCTTTCTTGAGCCAAAGGAGGAGGAGGACTCAGGCTATCCCCAACCTGACTCTACCAGCATGACCACAATTCTATGTACTATGAAAGAAAACGGCCATGGATTTTGGTGGATCATTACAGCCTCTGTGACAAGTAGATGTTGTGAACATCCTCATTTTATAAAAGAGGAAAGTGTGGCGCAGAGAGACCATGGAATTTGTCAGGATTACACAGCTAGGTACCAGGTTGAGAACCCAGGGCTTAGCTCTTCCTTATTTTACGGTAGTGCATGCATACACACTACAACTTGAATGTGTATGGGAGTTGGGGGCTTGGGAGCCATGAAAGAAACTTGCAAATTTAGGAAAGTATGGACAAAGAAAGGGGAAATACCACCAAAGTAATCAGAAAAGTTAAATAAGATCAAATAAAACCAAATATTTCAGGTATGTCACTAGATGGGATTGAGTATTGCTTTGCTGAAAACCAAAATCCACCTAAAGTCTTATGACAAAGAAAAATCTTTTTTGTTTGGTTCATAATCTGTTTTGTAGTGGTGCATTCCTTTGGTTGCTCACATGTTTATTACCTGTCTCCATTACTAAGCTGTTTTCTCCACAATTGCAGAGTCCATATACAGCTGTTTTGTTCACCTGGTACATTTAGAAGATACTGTGGCTAGCTGCTGTTAAGTCGGCTCAGATTCATAGTGTTCATATGCAAAACAGAATGAAACACCACCCAGGCCAGAGCAAGTCTCACAATTGTAGTTACACTTTAGCCCATTGCTGCTGCCACTGTGCCAATCCATCTTATTGGTGGGGTCTTCCTCTTTTTGGCTGATGTCCTTCTCCAGGGACTGGTCCCTCCTCTTTTGGGCTGATGTCCTCCAGGGACTGGTCCCTCCCGATAACATGTCTGAAGTTTGAGAAACAAAATCTTGCTCTCCTGACTTCTAAGGAACATTCTGGCTGTACTTCTTCAAACACAGATTTGCTTGTTATTCTGGAAGTCTATGGTACTTTAAATATTCGTCTCTAACACTATAACTCAAATGCATCAGTTCTTCTACTGTCTTCCTTATTCATTGTC